AGCGAGTAACGGAAGTCACGTTTTGAAGGAACGGAGGAACGAGTAACGAAGTTACAATTTTGGAGAACGATGCCCACCTATGCTGAAGTTTGTGTTAAACTCCGCTATGCCTGAGATGACTGAGGTGCGAGCCTGAGACGACTGAGTTACAAAGAAAGCCCGGGACGGAAATGAATGTCCGTGCGGTCTTCGTTCAATCAAAAAACCGCATTTGGCTGCGAACGGGCATTGGGATAGCCAAAAGGGACATCACATTTTCGCTGGGTCTCATGTTAACTTTCACTCACATTTTATGATACCATTCTTTATTTTTCACTCACAACGTATTGCCTTTTTTTACACAATTGTTCGTGGTATGAATTATGATGCTGTATGGAGTGTGTTCTTTGTAATGCTGTTTTGGTCGAGGCGCGATGTGCACAGTTTGTTGCCCGGAAGCTGCCCCCGTATTGGCACTGCTGCGGTCGCGGGGTGGGCCGATATTCCTATAGTTATGCCCACCGGCCGGCCGCGGCGCTCGTTTCCCAGGCGGCTCTGCTGAGATCGTGCGCAGGTGCAGGAAAAGGACGGCGCTGGGCGGGCCCGTGTGGGGCAGAGACCGGTCCGTGCGCCGCTACACAAATCCTCTCTGAGTAGCTGCCGAGGTACGGGAGCTCCAGTGGAGCCGCGGCGGCGGGTGGGAGGCGCTGGCCTGCATCGTCAGCTGCCCAAGGAAACTGTCGGCAATGCTGAACATTCTAATCCGACTGTTTGTGCTCTCTCTCTCTCTCTCTCTCTCTCTCTCTCTCTCTCTCTCTCTCTCTCTCTCTCTCTCTCTCTCTCTCTCTCTCTCTCTCTCTCTCTCTCTCTCTCTCTCTCTCTCTCTCTCTCTCTCTCCTTCTCTGTCTCTCACTCTCTATTTTATTGTCCTCTATCTTTCTCACTCCTCACTTTTATCTTTCTGTACCTCCGGTCTTCTCTTTCCTCTCTTTCTCCCACTCCGACTGTTTCGATCCATCCTTCTTCGTCTTTCCCTCTCTTAGCGTTCTATCGTGCCATGCCTCTCTCTCCCCATTCGCCGCTTCACATCTCCGTTCGGTCTTGTCAGGATTTATTTGTGCGCTCCCCAGCCCTCGGTGGCTCAGATAGTGAGATGATAAGAGCGCACAGATTGCGCCACTGATTAGAGGGCACAGATTACTGGCCGATCGAGCGCGGTGACCTCTGTACGGATTGATCGGGAATCGATCTGGTCGCGGCGTCTGGTCACTGGGACATATCAGAAGCGGTCAGCCCGGCTGACACGTGCTGTTGTTTATTTGATATGACCTGTGGCGACAGGCGGAGCTTACTGTGAGGTTTTGGGGGCTTCCCTCCCGCTAGCTCGTCAGAAAATGGCTGGCGGAAGTTGTTTTGAATTGCTTTTTTGGTTTATGGAAGGGAGTTGAAGTTTGATGAAATCAAATCGTTTTGAATCATGAAATCGTTTTGAATTGAGTGATAAAGCGGATTCAATTCCCAAGTCGTAGTCTGATTGTTGTTAGGTACAGCTAACGTAACTCCACGGTCGAAGGTCAACCCGCGAGGTGCCGTTATCTGCCGGTGTAAACACTGCAGTAATTACCGTGAGTCAGGACCTATGTAGTCTTTGATTGTGTTGAAATGCTCAGCAAACATTAGCTATCCACTTGACGTTTTTGACGTGCTACGACCGTTCAAAGTCCTTCTCAGCGCTTCTGGTGTGGGACAGACTCAAAACCGTGATGTGTACTGCCATAAACATATGCGCGATAAAACAACTAACTATTGATGAGATGGCGGTGCTGTCGTGAATTTGGTTTGAGCACAGACGGAACTTGCGTTACTATGCGCCCTGTCTACGTCTGGGGCTGGGAGGGGGCGTTGGCAGCCCCCGTGCCCCTGATCCATACCCGGCACTGACAGCCCTCAATCCCAGAGCGCCCCGAACCAGCACATGCCGGTCGGGGGTCGCCCCACGACCCACTGTGGTCCATACGGGCGCCACATGCGACTCGCCCCGGTCGTCGGGGGTCGGCCCGCCGCCATACGGGTGTCCGATACAGCGTCCGATGGCGGTCACAGCGACTGATAGGCACCCATTTACATCGTGTCAGCGGCGCCGCGATGGAACTGGGTCGGACAGCTGGGTCGGACGGTGGCTGCAGAGTGGTGGTTTGGGCACAGGGGATTCATGTGGGGGGTTGAGATATTGAACAGAAATGATGTGTTGGGTGGGCGTCAATGAAGTAACTACAGTAGTTAGTTGGAAATATGTCCTGAGTGGTGTTTTAGGGGACACACCGGTACTTGAGCTGGTCGGCTCACGTACCGGTGCGAACAGCGTTTGTATGTATTTTGTCTCACTAGCGTTATGTTGCATTGTACCTATTAACATGGTGCTATAATGATGAATGATGCTGTTTTTGCTTGCCAGTCCCATTGAATGGTAACGTTATCCCATTATAAGTGAAAAATAACCGTCCATGCGCCGATGTTATCGTAAATCACGCACCGCGCGAGCAACCGTTTCCGGCCTATTTACAACCACCAGTCCTCAGAACAGCGCTTTGGGAGTCCCACAGTGCGCCCTATTTCCCTGAGGGTTTTTATGCTCGCTGCGTAGTGTGCCGCGCTGCAGTCATCATATCCTGGTTTGCTGTGCAAAACTGGTCATTTTCACCGTTCTGGTGACCAAAACATTGGCGTCTGTCGACTGCGCGGTGGTACCGGGGGTAATGCCTGATGTCGGGGTGGCAGTGTTGCTCGCTTTTTTGGTGGAGCACTAGGGGTAGACACTGGCCACTGTGCGTTCGTACACGTGTCATAGGATGCAGCATACGACTGAAGCAACTCGGTGCACCATACAAGCCTCGTGACGTGGGCCGCACTGTAGTGATACGGATGAAACCATGTGGTTAGTGCGTTGTGTCGGTCCTGCCTCATCATTTTTAGCAATAATCAGCTGAATGTCGATTCGTTCTGGCTTTTATGAGCACGTGGACGCGTTGATCCGTCCCCGGTTGCTGTAGTGAGCGTAACTTAACACCGCTACTATCTTCTCTCCCGAGCTAATCCGGCCTGCTCAGCAGCCCTCCGGCAGATTTACAGCAGCCGTTGACGTCATCGTGACGTCACTTTGATGACGTCGCACCAGCCCGGTACGCTCTGCTGTTCACGGGATGGTGCCCCACTGGGAGAGAGTTACGATCGGGGCGACGGCCTTGTGATCGAGTGGTTGTTTATTTGCCCAGGTTAATATCAAGTAGGACGTGAATCTTTGCAACCGCCCCCTAAGGAATCCATTCTACTTGTTGATTGGATCATTTTTAAACCAATCTGAATGATATATTTCATGTTGTGTTTCAGTGCATGACTTCCTGACTTCCTTGTGGCGTTTCCCGTAAATATCGACTCCGTTAGTGGCCGAGATGCCGCAGATTTCTGTCATGACCGCGGAATGCTTCAGTCGGCAGAGCGCTGCGCGTTCTCACGGTGTTCCGTAAGCTTCCGCAGCCCACAGCGCTGGTTGGGGCCGATAGCTCCCGCTGGTGGCCCCCTCCGTCAGGCACCGTGCCCCTGATTGGCCGGTGTTGGGCTGGCTGTTATCGCGTATCGCTCCAGCCGGACGCTGAACCCTGTCAGAGTACCCAGTGAGGCCCAGGCGTGAGCTACCTGCTGCCGTGCTTCCATTGGCGATTCCTCGTGCTCTGGGCTTTAAGCCGAGATGAGTGATAGAATATGAGGAAGGGAAGTAAACCTATCAGTCCTTTCAATGACTGTTCAAAGAAGACAAAGCGTCACCTCGATACAGACTCACAGACTGATACAGAGATACAGTTTTTAACAAAGGTGCATTTGAGGAAGAAGGTGATAACAAAATGTGGCGTGAAATATCAACATTGTCAGCCGTTTTCAAAGTGTAGTTGCGTTGGTCTCTGTGCTCGGTGAGGCGCCTGGTGCAGTCCCGGTTGTCGGCCGTAAGCGACCTCTGTCTTGTCAGTCGTCACCGCTCCGGCCGTGGGCTGCGGTAAGTGGCCGGAATGGCCGGCCGACGCCTCGCCAGGCCACACCCACGCCTCCAGCTGAGCGGCTGCTGGAACTGTGCGCGGTCACTGAGGCGAGGGGAGACGCCCCGGGGCCCGGCAGGGCGCTGTGCTCCTCTCTACAGAGGCTGAGTGGCGTGAAGGCGACCCCCTGCGTGTGCCGAGTATCCTTCCGACACGTAACGCCGCGAGATGGGTCGGACAGTTGGCAGACAGTCGCACATCTGGGAACCTCCCCCGGGAGAGCCGCAGGAATGTCGATTGATTCGCCGAATGGCCGTCCGCCTCCCCCGCCGCGTGAAGCCTTTCCTGGTGTTGCAACTGAGCGCTGTGAGGTGTCTGTGGCGGTGCGGTCATTGACGCAAGGGGCGATGTTGGGTTAGCTGGTGAGCACGAAGAAAGGCTCTGGGGCTTGTGTGGAGCGTTCACGACACTAGGCCCCGGGGCCCGCCGGTAGGGTTTCTGAGGGTCTCATCGAGTCGCCTCCCCCGAACCTCCCCAGTGCGGCGGCTGTTCCCGGTAGATCTGGGGAAGTGTGTCGGGAATGATCTCCAAGCCACAGCGACCTTCCCACGGTGGGAAGTATCCCAACCTCCGCGGCGATACCCAGGGGTGGCGTATCGAGACAGACACCAACCGTCAGTGATCGAGACAGACCCGTCAGTGGTGACTTACCGTGTGAAGACACGGAGGGAGACACTGGCGACAAACGAAAATGCGACCGCGACGAAATATATTCGTAATATATCAGATCAGATATTAATACATGTATGTGGTTTGTTGGCATGGACTTCCCAAAGTCCAAACCTTGTCAATGATTACCATTGTGCAGTTTCTGGAGCGTCACTTTTCTCGGGTTGTAAATGAGATGGGAAACCCGGCCGCAGTGTTTCCATCTGCCAGCTGCCCCCCCCCCCTCCTTCTTCTGACCTGACGTCCCCCTTCTGATTCCGGCAGCTACATCGGCGAGAATGACACGATTGTGGTGTCGGTGTGGAACAACAGGAAGGTGCACAAGCGGCAGGGCGGCGGCTTCTTGGGCTGCGTCCGCATCCGGTCCAACGTCATCCAGCAGCTCAAGGACACCGGCTGTGAGTACTCGACGGGGGGATATTGAACTGGAGGTGGGCGGGACGCTGGTGCGCATACTATATTTGAGGACGTGTTCATCGATTTTTTTACGCATGATGTCCCTCGTGTCGACGCGCCCTAAAATCCCAACAATCAAACAATTATTGTTACGCTCTACACTGCAGTCTGCACTGGACAGTAGGCATGAAAAACGACGTAACGTGGAACCTCGGCTACCAAGTACCAACAGTCATCCATCCATTCATTCAGCGTCTCCCTTTCCGTCGTCTCCCGGTACCTTTCAATCTGGCGATCCCCGTACCCCAAACCTCGGCCGCCTGTCGCCACTTCCGTCTCTGGCCGGCCCAGTTCCGTCCCCCCCCCCCCCCCCTGTGCCGTCTCCGCTCCGGCCGACCGGCTGTGTCGGATCTGTGAGTCGGCCTGGTGCGTAACACCCGTCCGGCACGCGTCTGGCCTGTATTCCCGGAGAGGGAGGGGTGGGTTGTGCAATCACTGGTCCGCTCGGCGCGTGGCAGACTGGTATAGCAGGATCCACCGGGGCAGAGTGGTGTAGAAGCGAGGCGTGAAGAAGCTGCCAGTCACTGATCAAGGCGTGGCAAGGTCGATTGTCCAACGGCTACTGACTGATCGTTGCTCCGAGAGGGTACAGAGATAAACCACGGTCACGATGGCACCACTGTAGAGAGGGATGAGGGGGGAGAGAGAGAGAGAGAGGGGGGGATGCCGTCTGACCGGATATAAGAGGTTTTGTTGAGGCCGCACCAGGTCAAGGAATCTGTCTTATAAACAGTCCCAACATCTCGGCGGAACCGGCAGAAAATCTGTCTTCCAGTGGAGGCTATTTCAGGCGGGCACTCCCGTCTCTTTAATCACACCCTCGCCGTGTGGCTGACCACTCGCTCCGGCCGGTCTGTGCGGTCACCACTGAACGGTCTCCTCTGCCGACCGGTCGCTGGTGGTCTCTGCTGTCATCACTGAACAATGTTCTGCGGCCAGCGGACAGGGTCAGACGGCGCCACAGCGGTGTGCGACTGCCTGGTCGGCCTGCCCGGCATCTCAGCTCTGAGCTCAGCCGGTGAACCGCACAGCTCTGAGCCCCGTGGGTCTGCACGTTATTGTCGCAGCTCCCAGCTATCATCTCCGCGGGTCTGCGCGCTAACTTCGCAGCTGGGAAGCCCCGCTGATTCCAGCATCAATGCCCCCAGCTTCAATCCCCTCTTATTTCAATATCATTACCAATTACCCCAGGTCATAGGCTGTGGGGGCGTGCACTTTAATCTCCACAGCTTTCAGCTCTACGTGTTCCAGTGTCAATGCCCGCGGCACTCTCCGCCCACTCCGGCGCCAATCTGCGCTGCTTTAGCTGCAGCCTTATAATCGACCACGGCGCAGCGCTTGTAGCGGATTGATCAAACTGGCGTTGTGTTTTGAGTGGGTTCAATTGAGGTAGGTCTCCCTTTGATGTGGCAATGCCTTGCTGGCTGATTAATTCGGAATGTCGCGTTATGTCGGATTCAGTTTCAGCGAGCTGGACACACCGGTTAGTAGCGGGCTCTGTTCGAGTTATATTATCTGATGAAGCGGCCTCAGCCGTAGTTAGGCTCGGGCGTTGCTGCTGACATCACTAGCAGTCGCGTCTGAGTGACATGTATCACCACATGACGCGGTGGGCGTATGTGACGCCCTGCCTCGTCGCCGCTCGGTGCGATGGTTCCGTCCTCATCTCAGACTGCCGGCCGTCTACCAGTGCCTAATGCTGGCCTCTTCCCATTCCGGGTCATGACGTGCCGTATCTGCCGCCCCCCCCCGTGTGGTGAGGGGGGGGGTGATCGCACGCCGCCGCCGCCGGGGTTTTCCGAGACCCGCTGACGGACTGCGGCTATGGGCTGGCGGCGCCGGGCCGCTGCGGGCCGGCTCAGTTGAGCGGCAGCCGGCTCTGAGCAGGGCAGGTGTGGAGTGGCCGGGCCGGCGGCAGCAGTGAGCGGTGAACAGTGGATCGGTGCAAATGAAGTGACATTGTGGGGAGGGAGTGACGGACCCACCGTGCTGTGACGTTGTGCCCTACGGAGGGTTGCGCGGTCTGGCGCAGTGCCGCGCCGCTACACCCGGCGCACAGTACTCTGAATAGTGTCAGACACAGCGCGCCGTCACCGTGAGCCGTGTGTGAATACCAGGGGTGTCGGCGGCACGGCACCCGGCCCGGACTGCTATATGTGTCTACTGGAAATGCTGGCCTGCGCCTGGGCTCGCAAATCAGACGGTGAGACAGCCACGGCGCCGCGCCGGCACACAGCCGTGGAGGCATCACCGGGATAGTGTCATGTTTACCTCATCGGGCGCTTCTTTCCTGTGGTCCTCTGGCTCCGCTTTGAACTACGTCAGGAAGTGAACAGTGCTACGAATAATATCAGAGGGGACTGTAGTCACTGCCTTTATGTGTGTTGGTACTGGTATCGCTAAAATGTGCTTATTTTGTCAGTTGGTACTTGCTAGTTGTGGTCATACGCTCCAGACGCGGAACTGGTCCCAATGGGACGCCATTTGCGATACAATGCTAACAGCTGATGTGTAACCGTGTCAGTGTCACCGACAGGTGACCGTCAATGACACCGACACAGTGATACCGTGTCTCCAGATCACAGACACTATACCACCGTGCAGCGTGACGCAAGGGATCGTTCGCCCTAGCTGTGGTCCTGTGCTGAACTGGGGAGCAGTTAGCTCCATGCATTTTCTGATGAGCTTTTTAACATTGAACTGGCAGCTGATAGTGCACACTACTCCTTTGGCTAGTCAGAAGTAGCAGCAATGCTCCACACTGGACACTGATCCCGAATAAATGAGAAGTATCACGTATCATGAGCGTATTTTCCTATTCGTTTAGCATTGTAATCCGTATGTAATACGTATTTACTCTGCTCATGCATTCGAGGCCATTGACTTTCAGTGACGTTGGCAACTGACGCGCAACAGCCCCAATTAAAAAAGTGAAGCATATTGTCTACTGACTGGATTCTGCGTATACTCGCATTCTGTAGTCAGGAGGTAGAAGCAGGTGGCTAGTATTACGGTATTTGGGGCTTGTTTTCCGTAAGGCATTCTGTTCATCACATGCATCGCCCTTTTGCACTCTTCTTTAGTCCTGTCGTGGGTAGCCTGCCGCGCGGCATGACCCGTGGCCCGACCTATGACATCAAGTACCGTGATAACCTGTGACCTGTGCCCCAACTCTTCCCTTTTATCTGACTTGTGTGTTGGTACTCATCCCTGACCTGTAACCTGACCTCTGATTGACATGTGACCTGACATGTGAATCACCCCTGACCTGTGACCTAACCTATATACTGTGACCCGTGACCTTTGGCCGGACCTCTAGCCTGTTATCTTACCCTTATCCTGTAACCTTTGACCTGAACTGTGACCTCTCTCTCGCCCCGCAGACCAGCAGATGGAGCTGCGCAAGTCGAGCAGCCAGGACGCCGACTACCTGCGTGGAAAGGTCATCCTGTCACTGCTGTCCCGGGACGGGAACGGCGGCAACGGCGGCAGTCACAACGTGGTGGTCAACACCCAGGGCATGATCAGCGCCCTCTCCATACAGGTGAGGACGGCTGGCCGTTCAGCTGACTATGACTAATGACTAATGACTAATGATGACTAATGATGTTCCACCCCTCACAAGCTATCAAACGACTGGAATGATAGGCTTGGCCGCTTATCACGCAATTCAAAGCGTCTATGGTGTGGATGCATTACAGGAACAAGCTGTGTCAGTCAACTCATGTCATGTGGCAGAGCCTTCTATTCCCAGTTATTGGCTGTCAAATACTAAATACTCGTCTGGCATTAGGTATCTGATAGGCGGGTCATTGGTATTTTGTCTGTGTTTTGATGTCCGGTCCTGCACGCGTACCGAGTGCAGCGCCTTGTTTCACGAGGTCGGGCCTCGCTCTGCTGCGACGCCAACCACGCGCGCCAGCAGCGCAGCGGGGGGTCGAACTGAACTCTGCAGGACTCGCTGCGGGCCGCCGAGAACGGGACGGGAATCTATCGGTAGCTTTTTCATATTTGACCTACAAACGATGTTCTGGTGCTTTGAGATTTAAGATGTACCTGCAATGCCACTGCTAAGACTCCCAATGTTATGCTAGCCTTTGTTTTGTGAAAGTGAATTAGGGTCCTTCAAATACAGCGAACAGTGCCATCAGCGCCCCTCTTACATAGGGCGTAGTCTCGATTCAGGCAAGAGTAAACACCCGTAAGAGGCCTGTTCTATTTTGCCGCCCAGTGAACACGATGCTGAGACTACTGCTGGTGGATGATTATAGCAATGACGCCTCCCAGTTACACGGGGAATGCCTGCGAGGGTTTTTACAGCGGCTCACTGGCGTCGGTTGTGTCCGGACATGTATACCAGTCGTTCCCCTGGCCCTGTGACTATGGAGCTGCTCTCTCACCCTCTCCCTCTCTCTCTCTTTCAGGACGAGCTGGCAGAGGGCTGGGAGGAGCGGTGCGCGCCCAACGGCCGGCCCTACTACGTCAACCACGTGACACGCTCAACGCAGTGGGAGCGACCGCAGCGGCCGGCGCTCGAGGCGGCGCTGGTCTCGCCGGCCGCCGGCGAGGGCGAGCAGGAGCGGGGCCGGCGCTCCTCACCCTCTCCCGGCGAGTGCCCGCCGCGCCGCTCGTCGACGGAGAGGGGGGAGAGGCGCTCGCAGCGGCGGCGGCACCAGCACTACCTGAGCAGGAACCAGCTGCACCAGCCCGACGACCTACCCGACGGGTGAGCGGCGCCGGCGAGCCATTCTATCAGACTAGTACGGAGAGTCCGAGACTGCCCTCTCAGGGCGGGATGGGCACCAGCCAGTTTCTTGTCCACCGCTTGCCGACCTTATCTTGTTTCTGTATGATTTTAAACCTCACTTATTCTGTCATGGGTTGATGCACTTCATAATTAGGTACCGTGCTCTATAATTAGGTATTGAATTCCCGGCCTTAGGGCTGGAAGGTGTTTCCCATGCCTGCCAAAAAGCTCACAACTATAATTGATAGCATTGTCATAGCATTGATAGCATTGTATAGCATTGTCAATGCTGTTGTACGCAACCGCCACAGACGACTGTAAACAGACATTATGCTGCATTAACGATGCTCGGTTTTTAACTCATCCCTGACCTCCGTCCGTCAGCTACGAGATCCGTACCACGTCTCAGGGCCAGGTGTACTACTGGCACGTGCCGTCGGGCCGCGCCACGTGGCACGACCCGCGGCTGCCCCGTGGCGAGCAGGCGGCGCCGCCGGCCTCGGCCGAGCTGCCGCCGCTGCCCGCCGGCTGGGAGATGCGGCTCACTGACTCGGGACGCGTCTACTTTGTGGATCATGTCAACAGGTGGGCTCACACGGCCGGTGGACGGGGGGGGGGGGGGGGGCTGTGTCTGATTATTTTTGCTATTCTTTTTTGTGGGAGCTACCTCTCTTGTGTTCTTTCCATCTCATATTAGCATAATTTAAAATGTGTCGAAACGTCAACATCGAAATACGAAACGTCATCGAAATAACATGATTTTGAATGCTAAAGAAGCTTTGCATTGCACTTCTTCAGAGGAGCCCTACTTGCGGCAGGCTTGGATATTCACTCGCCATTTGGAGTCATCATCTCATGGGGATGGCAGATGTACTGGGACCTGAGTCCTAACCTGTGACCTTTTCTGATATCAGTGCTGAGTTGATCTGTGCTTATTCCCGCCTGTGGCCTGACCTGTGACCTCGTCTGACCGACTGTGCCCTGTTCTGACCGACAGGACGACCCAGTTTGCCGATCCCCGTCTGACGACGACCACGGGCGGCTCGGCGAGGCAGTCGCGGCTTATTGAGGAACCGGCGCCCGCGACTGTACGTATACTGGGGTGCAGGGGTACATCTTGTGGAGGGTACTGTCATAAACGAGGTCCTAGTCACCCCTGCAAAGGTGCACCTTGAGCAGGGACCAGCACTTTCTGACTCACTGAGGCGTATTTCGGGTAAAGTCTCTCTTGAGAGTATCGCGACTCTGAGGGGAAGGCGCCACCTATCCCAGTCACGGTTGAGTGGCTGTTTGAAAGCCACTGACCGAAGCCTGACACGCGGCGGCAGCCAGCGCGGCGGGGCGAGGGGAGTGGTTGCGGAGGTGCTAATGGTGTCTAACTATGGGGCTGTTCGGAGCGCATGAGCGTGGGAATGTTGCTAGATAGTCGTAGATGGCATTGCTCGTCCGCTGATGTGTTCAATTCAGTTAATGTACATCATGCGTCGTCTCTTCTCTCCACCCGTGCTCGGCTGTACTGACCGTCCTCCCGTCCTCCCCAGGAGCCGGCGGCGGACCCTGCCGTCCAGTCGCCGCCCTACTCCACCCTCCCCGGCGGGGGCAGTCGGGCGGCCCCGGCGCCCACCGAGCCCCCGCCTCTCCCGGCCCGTAACCCGGCGGCGCCACCGGCCCCGGCGCCCGCACCGGCCCCGCTGCCAGCAGCCGGCGGCGCCACGGACGGCGGCCAGGTGAGGGAGGGACGGGAAGGCAGGGGCGGTCCGTGAGAAAAAGGGGTTGTGGGGGTAGCTGTGGTTGGCAGCTGCTGGGATGTGGTCTGATGTGGGTATTTTATTTTTGACTCGATATTACCTACACTGGTTTTCTGAGCTGCCACTGGCATTGTAAATACAAAACAGCATACTACTTTTTGGATGCTGTTCGAATACATGCCAGAAGGGCTAGTGTCTTCGCTTTGTGTCTCCATTGCAGCTGTTTGCGGTCGGTTATGAGACAATACTAAGCTCTGTTCGTCAGAAAAGGGCCCGCTCCCAGCGGCTGTTCCGTTGTAACTTATTGTCCATTTCCCGTCAGTAACCATGAACCCTGTGTGTTTCTCTTATCAGCCGGAGATCCTTCCCAAGTACCGGCGGGACCTGGTGGCCAAGATGAAGGTACTGAAGGCTGAGCTGAGTACCCTCCAGCCGCAGTCTGGTCACTGTCGGCTGGAGGTCAGCCGAGACGAGGTCTTCGAGGTAAGTGTAGCGCGAACGAGCGGCTCAGCTTATCGTAGAGCTTCCATTGCACAGTTCGTGCATAAGTCCAGTTAGAGACGAGAGTGACCTCCCTCGCACAACATTCGTGCGGAACATGTCTTGTCGTCTTTTCGGCTCGTGATAGTAATAGTGTTAGTTCACTTTAAACTAACACGTCTAAATAGATATTGATTGCATTCTGTTGGTCTATTTCATTTTTCTTACCATGATGATGTTTGACAAATCTCCAGACAACGGCTACTTGTGAGAAACGTCTCTTCCCTCTGTCACTGACACCCTCCCCTCGGCTGCCCCGACAGGAGTCGTACCGTCTCGTGATGAAGAAGACGCCCAAGGAGCTGCGGAAGCGGCTGATGGTCAAGTTCCGCGGCGAGGAGGGTCTCGACTACGGCGGCGTGGCGCGCGAGTGGCTGTACCTGCTGTCGCACGAGATGCTGAACCCCTACTACGGCCTGTTCCAGTATAGCCGGGACGACATCTACACACTGCAGATCAACCCCAACTCTGAGGTTAACCCGGTGAGTGTCGGGGGCTAGAGACATCCTCACACCCGTAGAGATCAACTGCGGGGTCTAGTCTAGACTAGCTCGTTGAGCCTGGAAGGAAGGAAACATTTTCTCCAGGTAGAAGGACTCTCAGTTTACAAATGAAACATTGGTCTCTTGCTGACCTCATTGATAACACGTGACCAGAGCTACGAGCTGAAAATGACTATTGCATTCGGTGCGCTCTGAAGCCCTAATAAACGAACAAAAACGCAATATTGCTTCGGAAGTTGATATTACATCCTGTTTGTCAAAGTGGGGCCGTATTGAGGTGTGAGATATTTGATGCACTGACTAGCTTTACCAGCGCTGGCCACATTGATTGCAAACACAACCGTCAGGATGGCTGAGAACATTGCTGGCAATGATCGCATTACATCGTGGGTAACCAGGATACATTTGTATTGCCTGTGAGTGTGGCGGGTCTAATTATTTAGCGATGTGCGCAGCAGTCAAACTTTTTGTTTTATGGTGCGCCTTTCAGCTACCCGGAATCCCTTGATCGAACAGCGGCGATTAGAAACTGCTCTGTGAGCTATGGGTCGCGTGTCTGAAAACCATCCATTCCAACTATTGGGACTGATTCATGAGACAACAGTCAAAGATTAGTGACGACGACAGCTGGACGGGACCGGTCGTCCTGAATGTCCGCCCCCGGCTCCGGCTCTCGGCCACTAAATGTCGAACTCTGTCCCGTCAGTCGAGCTGTGTACAGACGCGGCTGTGCGATGCCCGCTGCTGATTGGTCAGTGCCGTCCATCACTGCCGTCCACATGTATCACAGAACACTGACAGATGATAACCAGGTCTGGAATATTCTGACTGGGCGCGGACAGTGCTGCTCTCTTGACTGTTCATTGTTCTTGAATGTTTTTTTATGCATCAAGTTATCACACACATTTTTGTTGTCAAAATATCTTCACGATTTGGCTCTTATCATACTTCCAATGTCATTTAAGCCATGCTGGCTAGTTTATCGTCGCTCTGAGGCCAGTTTTACCAACAGAAAAATAGCAGCCCGGCGCAATTTTTCTGTCAAAAACCAGCCGACGAGTTTCACCAACCAGGCGAAAAAATATCCGCCGGCGTGAAAAAGTATCAGCCAGAAAAATAGCCAACGAGTTTCACCAACGGCAAATGCGGCATTAATGGAGTGTTTATCTGCGCCATTATATGTAGAAAAACAGCCCCAAAAAATAGACAGGCGACCCCGTCTATTTTTTTGATGTCGTGTTGGAATAATTGGCCTCATTTGTTGCGAACTATCGTGATTTGCGATTCTCAGTTGATATAATAATTTAGTATCATTCATAGCCAATTTGTAAAGCATCTGGGCTTCAAGATTAGAAGAGGAATACTGATGATATTGCGTAAAGAAAGAGCCTTTGTCACCAGGCAGGACCAAAAGAAACCAACAAGACGGTTGTTTGGTGTTGTGGTGTTAGTTTTTTCATTTAATATTATCTTTTTGCTACAAGCACCCAACAGCAAGATGATAGAGCATTAACTAGTGGTCAGCTTACAAGTTCATTGCTCGGAAGGAAGTGGAAAATAATGATGGAAGGTCATTTTCGAAAATTGAAGGTGCTTGAAGAAATTGAAATGCTGGAAGGAGAGGCAGAGAGGGTAGGCTCATTGGACTCAAGATTTTAAATAAGTATGTCACTGTTTTCACATATTCAGCTACATTTGACATGGCAAGGCGCCAGCTACTGATACCACTACTACTTTTGGGTGGAACTTGCTTGAGCTGTGCGGAATAGGGAACGTGCATTGACATTGCTAAGACCGAATTGGCAAGATTTTCAAGATAAATGACAATAAATTTTTAAAAAGAAATTGAATAGCATGAAAGAAATGTATAAAGGCTTGTTTTTGAAGCAAAACGTGCAAAGTTTGTATGGTTGCGAACGCGAACAAACTTGCTGTCATAAGATTGTACCACTGAACTCAGCAAGTCATGCTGCCAATATTGAAGGGAAAGAAAATAATAGTAATGTTGTAAAATGTAAATGAATCCATAACTGTTGTGTGTGCACTGTGCTGATATTGAATGCATGTGTATCTTGCATGCTTGAGTCATGCAGGGATCATGTTAAAACTGGCTGTAAGTATTGTGAGTTAGTTTTGGAAAATTGTGGAGGCACCAGGCAAATTGCTGCCAAAATGTTATTTGTTCACCTCAGCACTGGGCCCTGTTCATGAAGTCTGCGGCCGCTGCGGCCGGCCGCAGGCTCTAAGCTCCGCCCATTTTTGAAACGTCATCACTCACTGGGCCGCAGCAGCGTTCCATGAACAGCGTCTGCTGCCGAAATAGTTTCCGACAATTGTTTACAACTGAAGCACACCGGTAGATAATTTGTTTACAAAATCGTCTCCATGACAACACGGCCTGCGCCTATTTGACTTCAGTGCGCCAAGTTCAGTGCAATTAGTTTTCTTGAGGCTCGGCGGCCGCTGGATTGCGGCCGCAGAGATCGCAGCGGCCGCAGCAAGATGACGTCATACATTCGTCATACTACATGAGCCCCGCCCCTTTTTGTGACGTAACAACCCGGCTGGCCGCAGCGACCGCAGCGGCCGCAGCGACCGCCGGGGTTCATGAACAGGGCCCAACTTTCTGCACACAGAGTTTTCAGATCATGCGCCGAAATGTTCATGCAGCCCGTCCGTTACACTGGTCATGTTGACAGTGACAGGATTTTTTCCCAGTCTCATGTTGAAATACAAAAATAATTCACTTAGCTTGATTTAGCTTATGTTTTTCATGCCAGTTCCTAGAATAAACAACAAATATTTTCTGTCATGTGAGAAATATAATGACAATATGCACAATTGCAGGCTGTGGCATGTTGTGAGGTTTTTCCTTGTTTATTGCTGAGGTTTTTTCCAGTCTCTGCTGCAAAAACGGTGGTGAATCCACCGTCGTCCGACGGTTTCGATGACGCTAATCATCGGCGAGTGTTGCTGTGATGGCCGACTGAGCGCACAGCGGCAGCCGCCGTCGCCAATAACGACAGTGAGGACACCTACGAGTCGGACGGAGACGCCGCCGCTGACGATTTCACCGTGCTGGACGAGGTGGAGCGCTCGAGCCGACAGGCCGTGCACCGCGTGCGCTGCCCGACTGGCTGGCGCACCCGCAGCCGATTAGCGACCGGCGGCCGGCGCCGGCCAATCTGCCGGCGCTCTGCCCCGAGCTGCGCGCCCGGCTGGCCGCCGAGGGCATCGAACAGGTGTTCCTGGTGCAGGTGACCGTGCTGCCCGAGCTGCTGGCGGCCACAGAGTCGCCGCTGCCACCGGCCGACCTCTGCGTCTCGGCGCCGGCCGGCCGCGGTACGACGCTGGCGTTTGTGCTGCCGGTAGTGCAGGCGCGGCGCCGGCCGCCGGGTGCGCGCGCTAGCTGTGCTACCCACACAGGCGCTGCCCGCTCAGGTGCCCGCCGTGTTCCGCCAGTACGACGCCGACACGCCGCTCTGCGTCCGGCTGCTTGGTGGAGACACAGTGGCACGAGGGGGCGCCAACTGGTGGCGGTGGGGCCGCGCGGCCCGGTCTCCCTGGCTGATCGTGGTGAGCACTCCCGGCTGGCTGATGGATCACATAACCAGCTCCGAGGGCTTCTCGCTAGCGCACCTGCGCTACCTGGTGATCGACGAAGGCGACCGGGTGATCGAGATGGCCGAGACGGGCTGGCTGAAAGCGGTGGAGCGGGTGGCGGCGGCCACGGCCCGCCGCCCTGCATCGCCGGCCGGCTGACGGCCGCCGCCGTCTGCGCGCCTCACCTGCCGCTGCAGAAGCTGCCGTTCTTGGCCACCCTGTCACAGAACCCGGAGGCCAGAGAAGCTGGAGCGAATGTCGCTGTTCCAGCCGCGACTGCTGGCGGCCGGCACGGCGGCCGCCGCCGTCGCACTGCCCGGTTAGTTCGTCGGCAGGTTCACCACGCCGGCCGAGCTGAGCGAGTCGTTCAACGTGGTGGCGCCGCAGCCGCTGAAGCCGCTGGTGATGCACCATTTGCTCCGACAGCCCGACTGGCGACGCTCGCTCGTGTTGGTCAACTGGAAGGAGGTGGCGCACCAGCTGGAGCTACCGCTGTCTGTGCTGGGCGCGCGCGTGACTGAGTTCTGTGGGGTAGTGCCGGCGTGCCGGCGGCGGCGCGCGCTAGGTGAGATGGCCGCGCTGGTGTGCTCGAGGCTATAGCGCGCGGTATTGACGTGGACGCCGTGGACGCGGTCGTGTCGTACGACATCCCGGCGCTGTTGAAGACGTACACTGCGTGCGTCGGACGGCGCGCATCTGCCGGGCCGGCCAGGCGGTCAAGCTAATGTTGGAGCGGCAGCGCAGCCATTTCCAGCGGCTGATGGTGCAGGCGGGCAAGGCGGGCGGCCGGGTGCGGGAGACGCTGGCGCTGCTGGACGAGCTACGAGCTGCGCCAGTACGAGGCGACCTACGTCAGTGGATTTCCACACTAGCTTCTAGTGGATCGCTGTTGTTTTTTTATGCCCATTGCTCATGATTTATTTACATTTTAGAAATATTGCAATGAATAGGTGTATGCCTTGTCATCAGCCTAGAAAAGTTAAAGTAAGTAAAGCGTTTTAGTTGCATAATGTATATTTGTTCATGAACACGGATTTAACATGTCCTAACTCCCAAATATTTCGATATTAGACCCGAGTTACAAACCAATCGAAAGGCTTAGACGATCATTTGGGGCGTAGCCAGACGGCTCGGCTGGGTGTGAAAGCCGGCGACCAAGGTGGTGACCACCCGATCATAATGCAGAGCTGTCTCCGTCGGACGATTGTGTCCGCGCGCAACGAATGATCTCGGCACACGCGGAGGAGTTCGGCAGGACTCTCCACTGAGCGGTACTGGGCGCAGTCGAACGACGGTCGACGACGCTAGCGCAGGTATTGTTAATTTGTTACGACTTACGAGCTGGACCAGTGTAGCGGGCCCGGAGCGAATATTCTTTGCTGTGTGGCGTTCCTTCTTCTCGACCGGGCCCGGCAAATGGGGCCTGCATATCGGCTAAAACCACCTAGCCGGGCAGTCCACCTCCACCTCGCCGAAGCGGAGCGAGCGACCACCCTCAGCCCTGCAATGACCGCGGTGCAGCAGTTAATCTGGGTAGGTATTTTCCTAAGGTAAGACACTCGCCTTGGCACAATGCTTTATATAGGCCTTGGCGAGTTCGTTAGCCCTCTTACTCCCGCTAGAAGGTGCTAATGCACTATGCAGTGCACGCGAAGCCGCCTCGTAGCACCGCAGTTCAATCGCTCGGCTGCGGAACTTTCCGTCGTCCGTCCAGCTTCAGGTGGCGTCTCTGGGAGCAATGTTGACCGCTTCTTTGCCGCTCTTTTGAAAGCTAGGAAAGAGGTGCGGCTCCCGGATCTGTCGGGAGCGGGACTCATAGGCGGCGGAACGGGTAGGGCACCGGGGCACCGTGCCCCCCTTTGATTTTGACATTTTAATATAAGCCCCATGGGCGTTGCATGGAAAGAATGGGACCAAAAGTCGGCAGTGCCCCCTTAATTGAAGGTGTTCCGCTGCCACTGGAGTGGTCCCATCTAGTCCCCACCTCATAGGTGGAGATCCACACATTGCGTTCTCGGTCTACACGATGATTTTCTACAAGGTGCGACTAAAAACAGACAAAAAGGTACATAGCAAGTTGAAGGTATTGTAAAATTAATATAATAGGCTGACAGGAAAAAAGATCCATCTTAAATTTGCCTTAAATGCAAGCTTCCTTACGTCACCTTTATGAATGACGTACCTACGTTTACAATTTGGTAGTTTTGTATTGATTGGCTTTTGCTGGGCACCAGAATGTTAATATAGATATGAAAGTTTATAATGCTCTACTTTGCTGTTATTACTCTTGAAAATAATGTAATAATTTACTGTTATAATATTTCGAAATGTATATAGCATTTGCATTAGAAATCACGCTTCAATTTGATTGAAAACATGCTTTAAATGATTTATTAACCTCCTTGACATATCGTAATTTGATATCGTAACAGAATATCAGCTGACTACCGGCGACAAATAATTTCCGTCCGAAGTCGGCTGGAATTTTTTGTTGGTGAAACTCGTGGATGTGTGGCGTCTATTTTTTCGGCTGGATATTTTATTTCGGCGGCCGGCTGGTATTTTTTGGTAAAACTGGCCTTTATAGATATATAAAAACCTCGTCTCCATCGGCCACTCCGTGCAACGATATATTTTTTATGTCAATTTAGGCGATGGCATCCAATGACTACTGCCTAAAGTTCACGTATGCTGGGCACCAGCAAGCAGCTTTGTCATCATTATGCACTCCAATGGTATTTATGCATGCCATTGTTCCACTAATTGTACCCATAGGTGTCGCTAAATCTCTCCCGAGGCCACGAAGCTGCCTTGCTTTTGAATCTTATAAGCGGGACTTGGATTTAGGTGCACCGGCTGTCTCGCGAACGCCATGTATCACGGCAGGCGAAATTTATCACCAGCAATAAGCGGCTAGTGTTCGAATTAAACCCGGACCGGCCAGGTATTTCTGCGATGGCTTAGGATTTCTGTTAGGACTGTATGCCGGTGCCATTTTGCTGGCGTTCGTAGGACGATTTTTATGTTGGTGTTTTTGCTTGCTTAGACTAAGGTAAATATAAAACAACATTTTGTGGCTTAGGAGCATCCGTACATAGCTAAACAATTATATAATCCGGAATAGTAAATTTGATAATTGCTGGTTTGTGCTTGTTATTGTGAAACTTAAATAGGTATTTTATCCATATAGTTTTGTACTTTGGGGAATCAATAGGCGAATGGGCTTCCTTCTCACCCACTCCCCATCCCCTAAAAAAAAAAACTGATTATTCTAACGTGACACCCATCTTATTTGGGAATACACGGTCAGTGTGTTCACGGTCTGTGTGTTGACACAGGTGGACAAATGACGCAGATGCACTTCACACGCACCTCCACATCCACGCCTTCCCGTAAACGCTCCTATACCCCACGCGTCTGGCCGATTGATCTGCCCGGTGACTGGGACGGCTCGGGATTATCAGCTGGTAGCGCTGTGTGGCGCTTAACTCGGCCAATAGATCGCCGACGCTATGCATTTCAATGCGGCGTGGTGTGATTGAAGCGACCCGGCGATATCCAATTCACCTCGGTTGCTACAATCAACACTGTCAACTGTAGGGAAACGGTTGGGTCGGGACGTCCTTCCAGATAAGTGGTGTCAGTTTCTGAAGTTTGGTAAACGAAACCAACTCTGTTACCGACGAGAAACGTGGGCAAATAAAAGACGACCAAGTTGTGGAAATCGAGTGATTTGGTAGTATTCTTACAAATCAACCCCACTTGACGATTCGGGAGTCTAAAGATAATTCAACAAATCAATAGGAACGTTGGCTTGACATGGGTGTACCAATGTTTTAGTTTCCGATTGACATCTCTGCCCCATAATTGGCTCTCAGAGGAAGCACAGCGTCCGGGGTTGGGATGGTCTTCAGCACTTGGGTCGGGTATCCGTGGCTGTTCCTGGTTAGAGTCGAGACCCGCTCTGTCCCGGCAGAGTGAGAGACAGCTGAGGCAGCCACTGACCGGCCGAGGCCAGACCCGCGTCACCCTAGGGCAGCTGGCACGGCTCCCCGACAACTCAGCACACCCAGTGTCTACCACCCGCCAGTATGACCCCGCCTGCCTGCGACCCCTAGCGTTTCTGACCTCCCCCTCCCCCCGTCCACAGGAGCATCTATCGTACTTCCACTTCGTGGGCCGTGTGATCGGGATGGCCATCTTCCACGGCCACTACATCGACGGCGGTTTCACCATGCCCTTTTACAAGATGCTGCTCAACAAGCCGATCGCCCTGCCGGATATCGAGCAGGTGGACCCGGACCTGCACCGGAACCTCACCTGGATCCTGTGAGTATCCGCGGTATGGGATACTGGTCCCGGATACCGTGAATACCGGGTACTTCAACGTCAGGAGCTGTTTAGTCGTGGTATACTTTTGGGCGTATGAGTACCGCGGTAGTTACTTCGGGAACTGCCAAGAGCCCTGGTACTTTCATCGGAAATACCCACTGTTCTGTTTAGACCCATTCATTTCCCTTTTATCGTAGTGAAGGGTGGAAAGTCGAGTTTGGGTAAGACTTATTTTGTGCTCAGATGTCAAAAGATGATTCGTATCCAAGTGCATCCAAAATAATTTTTTGGAAGCACTGCTGCTGCTACCACTGCCCCACTGACCGCTGCCCGCCTCCCATCACTCTCTCCACCACTGACCGCCTCCCCTGCTCTGTCCTCAGGGAGAACAACATTCAGGAGCACCTTCTGGAGATGACGTTCAGCGTTCCTCACGACCACTACGGACACGTCACCGTCCGCGACCTCAAACCAGGTAACGGCCCTGATCGGGTGGCCTTTGATGTCGTGGACTCGTGACGTGACGTGAAGGCTCGTGTAGTGAGTAGACTGGGGTGGGAGGGGGTAGAGAGGTCACGCCGTATGGCACTGGTAATAGAAATACAAATATTTCATTTGGACGTGACTCTTATCGAAATTATTGTAAGTCGTTTCGCTTAATATTTCAATCGGCATGTTGCTTAGTAATTGGAAAGTAGCGTCTTCTAATGCTATTGATTTACTGAAGCTACCTTCCTCCACTCCAACTCCTCGCCAACCCTCCTCGCATCCCCACTCTGACCTCTCCTTTCCTAGTCTGCCCTGCTACCTCCCCACACTAACCCTGCCTTGTCCTGCCGCCTCCCACTATAACCCCTCTCCCACCCTCCATACACCTCCCCACTGACTCCCCACCCCGTCCCCCTCCCCTCCCCTCCCCAGGCGGCCGTGACCTGCACGTCACAGAGGAGACGAAGCGGGAGTACGTGAAGCTGTACGTGCAGCTGCGCTTCATGCAGGGCATCGAGCAGCAGTTCCTGAGCCTACAGAAGGGCTTCACCGAGCTCATACCGCAGACACTGCTCAAGGTAGGGAGGGAGGAAGGATGGGAGGCGTGATGGGATGGATTTGGGACGGGAGGAAGGTGCAGGGAATGTAGGGAAGGAATGAGAGAGGGAGCAAGCCGAGGGATATGGATAAGAGTATGGCAAGAATGGGAAGAAGATTTAGAGGTGGAAAAAGCAAGCGAGGGAGAGTTGGAAGCAAACCACAAAAGATGTAGGAAGGCGGAAGCAGTGTGGGAACGAAGGATGAAAAATCGACAAGGGAGCGAGGAAATGGTAATGAGCTTAGTGAGGCGCAGTCTGGCGTGTGTGTGTGGATCTGGGAGGGAGCCGATCCGTGGAGGGTGCCGGGGAGCATCGCCCCACCGGTGTCACCTCTGACGGCAGGAAAGGCCATCTGATCTACTGTCCTGCCTGCGTTATTAGGTCGACTGTGCCACAGTGCGCCGCTGTACGGACCGGCGCCGCTTCCGACTCTGTCCCGTCACCCTGTGAACGCACTGACCTGACTGTCGTGCTGCCGGCTGACCTGTTTGGTGCACTGTTACAGACATTCGACGAACGGGAACTGGAACTGCTCATCGGCGGGCTGGGAAAGATCGACGTCGAAGACTGGAAACAAAACACCAGACTCAAGGTGGGTCCTCTCTGCCTAGTCGTGCGTCAGTCCCTGATTTCTCCCACCTCTTCGCTCCTCATCCTTCTTCCTCTGTCTATCTCTGTGCACTCTGTTAATCAGATCCCCCCTCTCTCTCTCTCTCTCTCTCTCTCTCTCTCTCTCTCTCTCTCTCTCTCTCTCTCTCTCTCTCTCTCTCTCTCTCTCTCTCTCTCTCTCTCTCTCTCTCTCTCTCCCTCTCCCTCTCCCTCTCCCTCTCCCTCTCCCTCTCCCCCCCTCTCTCTCTCTCTCTCTCTCTCTCTCTGTCTCTGTCTCTCTCTGTCTGTCTCTGTCTCTCCCTCTCTCTCTCTCTCTCCTCTCTCTCTCCTCTCTCTCCTCTCTCGCACTCTGCTGTCTCTCCCGCCACCCTCGCCGTTGTGTGTTGTGTTGTGGACCCGCTCCACCCATCACTACTAGACGGACCATTGCCGCGCTCCGCGGGAAATTAGCGTCGTATCGTGTTCCACTTCGGCCCACAGCCGAGATTGGGAGCCGCAGTTTATAGCGCCGTCACGTCGGCGAGCTGTTTGACAAACATGATCGGCGACGGCGTATTGGGAAAGGTGGCTTTGTCCTCCCCGAAGGATCGTCTCCGAATTTCGATATTTCATTGCAAGTGATGGGTTTGATTCAAAAGGTTGACCATCGTTATTATTTTATTTGTTTCTCTCTATGCTGCTATGCTATGCTACTCACTAATATGCACTCTCACTATGCTACCCCCGGCAGCAGTTAGATGCGGAGTGTCCTCTCATCATGCTACCTCCGGCAGCTGCATTGATGTGTTATAAGAGTGCCGTAGCCCCCTGCGTCTCCCGGGCTGCAGGTAGATGCTGAGTGTCGGCTGACCCCCCCCCCCCCCCCCCGCCGTATCCCTCCTTCCACAGTACTGATGTGTTATACAGTGTCAGCTAAACCCCTATACCCCCTCCACAGCACGGTAGGTATACAGTGAGGAGATGTGTTATATACTGTCATCTGACCCCCTGTATCCCTCCACAGCACTGCACTGCAGAGGACGAGGTGGTCCGGTGGTTCTGGCGGATCGTCGACTCGTATAGTGAGGAGATGCGCGCCCGTCTGCTGCAGTTTGTCACCGGCAGCAGTCGGGTGCCGCTGCAGGGCTTCAAAGGTCTCCAGGTGAGCCCAGCAGGCCGCCGAATGGAGCCAGGCATAACGCGGGTTGAGGGCTGTGTGTGTTTGCCGATTTGGGTTGTCTCAAAACGATTAGTGGGGGCTGGAAGAGTGAATACTGGCATTTGTCGTGCATGTCTTAATCTAAAACCTATTTCGCAGCTAATTCAGACCCATAAGTTACTGATGGAAATGCTGTTTCTCGTTTTTAAACCATCTTAATGGGTGCACACATTAGTCATGTTATATGCTGGTTCTCATCATAGAACTCAAACACCATCGGCCTTATAAGGTTTGAATGTATCGCTATCAGCGCCTCCCCATTCTGTTCTGTATGACTGGCCCGGCCCGGTGTGTATTGTTCTAACGGAGCTGTGTGTCCGCTCCACGCTCAGGGCTCGACGGGCGCCACGGGTCCGCGTCCGTTCACCATCCACCTTATCGACGCGCCGGCCGGCAACCTGCCCAAGGCGCACACCTGCTTCAACCGGCTCGACGTGCCCAAGTACCCCAGCTACGAGGTAAGAGCCGCTAGCACAGCATCATTAATACACCCAGTACCGCCCTAATGCCCCAGCTACGACGTAAGCGAGGAATAACAACAACGTCTTGTGAACGCCCAAATACCCTAACTACTAGACAAGCTAGGAGTAACAGCAGTGTCTAGTGACCGCCCAAATACCCCAGTTACGAGGTAAGCGAGGAATAATAACAGCGTCTGGTAACCGCCCAAATACCCCAGCTACGTGGTAAGCGAGGAGTAACAACTGGGGCGTTCCACGACAAATCGACAAGTGCCCTGCACCCTCATATTTTATTTTTTGCTTAAAATTGGTCTAATGGGTTGTGATGGGCGGGGAAGCCAGCTGTGACAAGGATTTTTTTCTTCGAACAACGGTTTCCGAGATATAGCCTCGGGCAATTCCTGGAGGTCGCGCTGCAGCCCTATGTTTGGCGGCCTCTAACTCAAAAACTATTGGTTTTCCACGATAAAAACTTTATATGGTTCAACTCACAATGAGTCAACAAACATTTTGGCTATCTCGGATAAAGGTCAAAAGTTGACCTTAGGTCACGTGACCTAAGGTCAACTTTTGACCTTTCGACCTTTCGAGGTCAACATACATATCTTTCGATGCGGATCGACGAGAGGATCACGATGGTGCTATTAGTTTGTTCCTAGCTGGGATACCTTGAAAGTTATTCGAGAAAAACTTCATATATATGTAGTGCCGCAATTTCGACTTCCTTTTTGCTCCTGTGACGTCATCTCTGACCTGACCTGAAAATGACCTCAGTAAAAATTATAGACCTTATCCGTGTGTACCCTGCACCGTTTACCGCTTGTCGCTATCTTGCTTTATTCTCGAGATCTCGCTGTCGCTCCCGCTCGTCACGTGACCTAAGGTCAACTTTTGACCTTTCGACCTTTCGAGGTCAACATACATATGTTTCGATGCGGATCGACGAGAGGATCACGATGGTGCTATTGGTTTGTTCCTAGCTGGGATACCTTGAAAGTTATTCGAGAAAAACTTCATATATATGTAGTGCCGCAATTTTGACTTCCTTTTTGCTCCTGTGACGTCATCTTTGACGTGACCTGAAAATGACCTCAGTAAAAATTATAGACCTTATCCGTTTGTACCCTGCAACGTTTACCGCTTGTCGCTATCTTGCTTTATTCTCGAGATCTCACTGTCGCTCCCGCTCGTAATAATGGACAGGTCATAAAAATGACCTGACCTGAGGTCAACGCAGGGCGATATCCACTTTTTTATTTTCGCATATGAATGACAATCGATAAGGCTTTAATCGTCATCAGACAAAATTGCAACTTTCAGTGGGGAAAATATCAAGGTCACTTCGAAAAATAGGTCAAAAGATCACGTGATCAAAATTTTCAAAAAATGAAAATCCGAGATAGCCAAAATGTTTGTTGTCTGATTGTGAGTTGAACCATATAAAGTTTTTATCGTAGAAAACCAATAGTTTTTGAGTTATAGGCCGCCAAACATAGGGCTGCAGCGCGACCTCCAGGAATTGCCCGAGGCTATATCTCGGAAACCGTTGTTCGGAGAAAAAAAATCCTTGCCACAGCTGGCTTCCCCGCCCATCACAACCCCTTACACCAGTTTTCAACGAAAAATAAAATATGAGGGTGCAAATTTAATTTTTTATTTGTCGATTTGTCGTGGAACGCCCCAACTAACAACAGCGTCTGGTAACCGCCCAAATACCCCAGCTACGAGGTAAGCGGTTCAAAACAATATCACAGGCACACCCAGTACCACCCAAGTATCTGGCCAGCTATAACTATGTAAGGGGCATGAACATAGTACCACAGCTGGTAGGTACACCCAGTACTGTCCAAATACCCCAGCTGCGAGGGAAGTACTGAGTACTGACTACTAAGGGTGACAAAATACGCCCCAGTACCGTCCAAATATCCCAGCTTTGATGGTTAACAGAACACCCAGTATAGCCATAGTATCCCATCCCAGCTCTGCTTCAAAGGATCCACAAAGCACGGTCAAAGTGACCTAGCCACGATGTGTAAAGTGAAACATACAGTAGCAGGAACTCTAGAACCAGTAACAGAATCGCCGCTCTCCAGATCCATCCAATTACCCAGCTCCAATGATGACGCACAGACCAATGCCGATGTGCCGTACATTCATATTTCACTGCTCATATACTGTCCATCATTGCTCCGTCGTTTCGTGATGTGCTGCTCACTACTGGTGTACCATTCTGTGTTAATGACCTGTCCTTTTACCTGCCCACCGTCCTGCTCCAAGTAATATATTGTCTATCGGTGATATACCGTTGCATAGATAACATGAAGATCCATGTTATCTATGACCGTCGATATGCCGCCCGTATTCACCTGTCCGCCGTTTCTGCCCCGGGTAATGTGCTATTTACCGCTGATATACCTACCGTGATGTGCTGTTCCTTTACCCCTCTGCCGTCTTTTCCTCAGGTGATGTACGACAAGCTTACGCAGGCGGTGGAGGAGACGTGTGGGTTCGCCGTCGAGTGAAGGAGCGGCCCGACTGGCCGTCTGTGATAGCCTGCTCCTGGCCCGGGACCAACCGACTGACGCGGCTGCTGCACGCTGAGGGATGGAGGTCGGTGTGCCACGGCGGTGAGCGGATACTGCGGCGACTGAGGGCGACCAGAGGGCCCAGCGGGGGCGGTACTCATGGCGCTTCTGGCGTGGCAGTTTCCACTGTTCTGGCTCTATGCTGCTGGGGTGTCAAAGAAGTGACTCAGTTTGCTCAGGAGGCCGCAGATATAGCCGCGGATCGGTCGACACAAGACGGAACTCTCTATTTTTGTACGGTGTGACTGTGGAGTGCTGGGCTGCTGTGCCGGCCGGCTGAGGCGTCTGTCTTACAGACTCCTCTGCTCCAGTCTTTGCGCCAGTTTTGGGCACTCGGTGAGTCAGAGTCAGACTCTCGGAGTCACTCCAGGGCTGGAGTCGCGCAGCCATGGTTCCACACTCCCAACCATGCCCCGCGGTCGTCCGTTTTATACCACACTGTGCTCTCTTCAAGTCGGAGGAGCCGGTGGTCCTCACCGAATCACCTATAAGCCTCTGGTGGCTAACCCAGTGCGAATTTCACCGTTTGTGTGTTGTTGTTTTCGGTACGTGTGTGCCGACTTAGTCCTGTCTTTTTTGGGCGCGATATTACTGACAGATGCGGAGATGCACGATTAGGTTTATCAATGTGACAGACTGGTGTGGCTCTATGCTCGCTGAGGGAGACCAAAGACGTACAGAGCCCGTGTTGATCTGCGTAGGCTGACCCACCCAGACCAATGGGTCACGGCCGCTGCAGCGACTTCTGGTCCAAATGGTTATCTGGTTATGTGCCGCCCTGATCGAATGCTGTTCTGTTTAGCCAAGGTTTGTTTTGGGGGAGATTTTGGTGGTATAATGATAGTGTGTGTGTATGTATGTGTGTGTGCGTGGCGGAGGTAGAGTGTGGAGAGAGAGAGAGAGAGAGAGAGAGAGAGAGAGAGAGAGAGAGAGAGAGAGAGAGAGAGAGAGAGAGAGAGAGAGAGAGAGAGAGAGAGAGAGAGAGAGAGAGAGAGAGAGAGAGAGAGACGCACAATATTCTCGTGTGGTCGTGTTTGGTGTTTGTGAGGGAGTGTAGGCTTATGCATCGATGAGTGGCATGTCTGTGTTGTTTATGTGTATGGCTGTACCTGCGTATAACGGTGTACACCTGTGTTGTGCGTTTTTATCATTCAGTTCTAGTTCATGTGTATCTTTGCCGTGAAGTGAGACGGAAGCCTGCGATGTGTCTGGCGCGGGGTGGTCATTTCTCCCGTACACTGTTTACCCCCAGTCCTGGATCAACTGATATGGCTACCAATTCGCCCGTTAATTGAACTGTCCGGCCCGTGGTCCACCGTTTGAATCGTGCAGTCACACAGCCCCCGACTGCTGGCGCCATCTCTGGGCGACCGTCGGAACTCACACTTCCAGCTGGAGCGCTGCCTTCCGGTCGGCCGATCGACCGACCGGCATCCACTGCCGCCGGGACCCGTCCTGGGCCCGGCCCGTCCCCAGGGGCCCGCCCGGGGCCCCCGGGTCACCTCTGGGGCGCCGTGTATAGCCCCCAGTCCACTACACCCACCCTTCACACGTCTCCGCTCCTCCCCAACGGCAGGTGTCGGCCTAGTGGCTTTGGTTCCTCTGATAACCACATAATCTTAACAGGATTGCTCCGGCTGCTTTTTATTTCATGCCCCGTTAAAACTCGACATATTATTGTATATCATGGCAATTTATTGTACATTCGAAATTCGATTCCAATGTTACTTGATGTGATCCAGACGTGTGTGTTTAATTACCGCCGCCCATAAACCGAGTTCACCGTTTTGTGTGTCTAGGGATACGTGAGCGCGTGGTCTGTCCGTGTGCCCTCTGTCCGTATCTTCTGTCCTCTGTCTCTTATGTTGTTCCAGTATGCTGGCTGCTGAGGACAATCAGCATGGGCTTAGTATGTTGTTGGCGAATCTTGAGTGCATTATTTACTTGTTGTTCTGTAAGGTTTTCTTTGAGCTTTCCATTGTGCTTTTCACATGCACAAAATGTGGGTTTACAGTTGAGTTATTTCATGCGTCACTATTTCCATATTGTTTAACTATCTTCTTGTCTACGCCACAATCGTAATGGCGGTAGTCCTGTCTGCTTCACTGTTTTTGACGCAGGCCTACCCTTGAAAGGCTGACTACGTCGTGTGCGTGAGCGTCAAAGCAAGTGTCGCGTTCTCAACTGCAGACAAGAGTGTTTTGTTTGTACGCAAACGTGCTCTCAAAGTATGTGCACACAGACTTGTCAGGAGCGATAACCGACCTACGGCACAATTCTCTGGTCGCTGGCTGGCTATGATTCTTGATTGTCCGACATACGCTGGTCTTAGTATATTGTGTGCGATTTTACTCACTTGTAACATAACCCGTTTGGGACCGATACGCACAATCATCTGTAGGTTAAATCGGAATGATATCACAAATACGTGACGTATTGTGTGATGTCATCAGGGCACTACAGAACGTGCGAGTGACGTCATCATGGAAGTATGTCGTTGTTATGCTAAATGCTATGTCTTATGTAAGTATCGCCGATTTGTGCGTGTGTATGTGTGTCGTCATAGATTCACAGTATGTAATGTTATCTCGCAATGGAGTTGTATGCCGTCACGCGGCCTGTCTTCCGCCCCTTGTAAGACATATCTGAGACTGGCGGTGGGCGTACGTACGTTCGCCGGCCGCGGAGGTGTTTCGCTCGCTGGCCGGACGGCGCGTGTAATCAGTGCGTGTGTGTGTGTGTGTGTGTGTGTGTGTGTGTGTGTGTGTGTGTGTGTGCTCTTTGTGTGCGTGTGGCGTGTGCTGCGTGAGATCAACACAATACATACCATCGGAACTCTATCGGTGTATGTTTAACTAGTCAAACGCTGGCGCGGGCCTGTGAACATCCAACTCGGTTTTCCGTCGACCATTGAGCCGTGAAACTGACAAAACAAACGCACTGCAGCTGACGCTTTTCCAGCCGCTCTGAGAGCTTACAGTGCATTCGGCCGCTTCAGCAGCAGGCGAACATAATAACAGCCTCGCTCTGAGCTCCTACAATGCCACTTCAAAGGCTCTGAAAATAACGAGAAGCTCGAGAGGATGTGAACCCACGAGAACAGTTTGCAAATCCGACCTGAAAAAGGCAGGAGTGGAACTGAGAATTAAATGAGCTAGTGAGTCGAGAAAGGCACAAGATTAGAGCGTGCTGCCAAATCCGATTTCATGCAGCACGCTCTCACTGAACCAACATCCTGACCTGTCGGAAGGGACCTGACCTTAAAGGAACTATCCCATCTTCTAAAATGTTGTTAAAACCAGTTAAATTGTGCCCGACTTTATAGATTGGATGACCAGGAACACGGTTCTGGCATTTATTTTTCATTAAACATCTTAGGCTTCCCATATTCCAAATACAAACTTTCAAATATGTGACGTCACAGCCCAAAATTACCTCCTTCCCCAGGCCACATTACTGTCATAAAGCTGATTCTTTTTACTCTGTAGGCACCACAACAAAGTTCAGACCAAGTTTTAAGCGATTTTTCAACGAACAAACCCATTTAAATCAGAATGACTAAACGAGATGACGTCACACTAACGGTCGCTCCATGTTGAAGATAGGGCCTTGCGCAAGGCCCATTTTCAAATGAAGGGAACGAATTTCTTCAACACCAAGAGGCCGCGTGGGTTGCAACCTAGATAGATAGTGGTTTATGAACCTCGCCGCAAACTTGGCTATCTCAACTCAAACCCCATGTTAAAGGTGGGATAGTCCCTTTAACCCTCTCCGAGCCAGGGGTGGTGGACCAGCTCTAACGTTCTCGCAAATAGCTTGAAAACGGTGGCTCGTAGCGCTACCAAAGTTGGCATATTCTATAGCACATTTTTGTAGCATTTTTTTTGTAATTTCAATTTCCAGTCATCTTAGGTCAGGTCACCAGGTCACAAAAAACGATCCATATTCACGGTAAATTTAAATAATCTAGCATGGCTAGCGTGCAACATTGGAATTTGGAATAACTACATACGTCTTTCACAGGGAGTGCAGAAAATACAGTGAAACGTGACGCCACCAATTTGGCACACCCTATTACGGCATCTATTCGACAAATGTCCTAAAAGTTTCAAGTACCAATGAGTACCTCATGTCAGGTGATCAGATCGGGAAAACCTTACCGGTGCATCATGAAAGTGCAACTGCCGGGTAGCGCGGATGTGTATGGGAGTAGTGTGTCATTCGCAGCATGCCCTGTTTAGTGGACCACCTGGTCCCATTACCAGCCAGTCCGTTATTTTACACTAGTTTTGAAATGTAGCACGGGAGGTAATAATCGAAGCACACTGCACAGCCTATTCCATTTGTCCTCTTATCTAAAGCCGAATGGCTCCTGGGACTCAGGCAATGTAGTATATGAATAATGAACATTCTCTGACTCATTTCCATTCATGTGGTATACCAATGAGCACGCATTGCGTAAGTGGCGACTGGCGGTGCATTGAAAGTTTTGCATTACCTAGCGTAGGTACACATTCACCTTTTCACCCATCAATAACGTTCGTTACACGGATACTAAAGACCTTAGACCCGTCTCCGCCATTCATTGATTGGCATGTTTGAATATGTACAGACGGAAATGGAATACAGGAAAGCACGAATAATAACATGCTTTACCAGTACGACCTGCTTGGGAAAACTGGGACACTTCTGCTGTCTCACGGCTTGCCTTACACGTGGCTGCTGTACTATATGTATAGTACTAGAGAGTGTTTCCTATGTGGTAGAGTGCATTATTCGGTCAGTACTTACGAGGGCCGGAAGTAAAAGGATGAAAAGAAACGTTAGTCACCCTCGAGCAGTTTATGGATCATTGTATAAATGCGCTTCATTCATTTTGAGCTACTAATTTTGATAGGTCCTTCTAGCTATGATCGAGCTTATCAGGTCAGGGCGGGGACGCAGGAGGGCCTCATTGGTGGGTGACATGAACTATCGAGAAGGACACAACTACGCAGTACGCACAAGCAGGGATGCGGAGCCGTGGAATTTGGAAATTTCAGACGGCTCCGGCTCCGGCTCCGGCTCCGGAGAAAAAAATCGGCTCCGGCTCCGGCTCCGGGTGAAATGGCATGGCGGCTCCGGCTCCGGCTCCGGCTCCGAGTAAAATGATCCGGCTCCGGCGGCTCCGGCTCCGGCTTCTACTCAGTGCATCCCCTATGCGATCAATTAACCTTCGCCCTGGTGGGGGGGGGGCCATTTTGGCCCCCCCCTGTGGTTTTTCAGCGATAACTCAGAAACCACTTGAGTTAGCGCCCTGAAACTTTGTATAGCTGTTTATTCAACATTTTTACATCATGTCCTTTTTTGGAGGGTTCGGGTCAGGTCAGGTCAGGTCACAAGGTCACCAAAACTGACACCACCTCTAAAAAAGTTCAAAGCTCTCTCAAAGGCACAGCTTTTATCCGATCGATGTAAAATTTACAGTACTTGAAGATGTCACTCAGCTCTACAAAATGGCTATCTCGGATTTTTTATAAATGTGACCTAAGGTCAGGTCAGGTCATCGCTGCTCCCCATTATAAGTCAATGGGAGAATCGAAAAGTAGTTGTTTTTCAGCTAAATCGGGCGTGATTGTTCCTATATTTCGTTATTGAAGTGTCTTGGGTCAGCAAATCACAGCCCATGTGAAACCATTTGCTTGTGACCTCGCTGAGGTCACGCTAGGTCATCTCCCTGGTCACCAGAGGTCACCAGCGGTTTTTCTGCACTTACTTGTTATTGAATAGAGATAGAGACTCCGTTCGACGTTTATCGTGTTTGTCTCGTCAATGCGGATCGAATGATATGCAGCATGACCTATTTCGGTAAGGTCATGACCTTGACCTGAGGTCAAATTTTCAAAATGACCTTTCGAGGTCAAACTATATATCATTCGACGCGTCTCGACGAGCCAAGCACGATGGTGCATGAATCGTTTCTCTATTTTCTCGTGAATGCATGCTATAGTTAAAAACATTTTCAACGAAATTTGCCAAGTTGACCTTGCATGACCTCTGTAGGCCAAACCGTTGAGCTGAGGTCAAATCTGACGAACCTTGGCGAAAGAGCTTGAAAAGAGCTATCGATTGCTTTTTTCCGCGGCTCTCTAGCTCTTCTAGTTTCCGAGCTACAGCGGAATATGTCCGGCAACACCGAAAACACTGAAATTTGACCTATGATGACCTCTAGCGACCTCAATATTGACCTTAGCGAAAAAATGACCGAAATACTTTCGAACGTACTTGTTATGGGCTTTCGTTTGCTTTTTTCCGCGTCTTCCTAGCCCTCTTCGTTTTCGAGTTAGACGGGGGGGGGTCATTTTGGCCCCCCCCCCCCACCAGGGCGAAGGTGGCTCAGACCCACACCAGGGCGCGGGTTAAATACGGGTGGAAGAAAAAAGGCGATGGGATTGGTACACGTTGCTTCTGTATTTGTATAACAAGGCTATTTTGAATACCACATTATTTTACGCCTTGTACTGTCAAACCGAACTAGGCAAATAATTGTTTCCTCTTAAGAAAAGGAGCCGGAGTCGCCCCCTTTTTTGACGGCTCCGGCTCCGGCTCCGGCTCCGGGCTATATTGTTTCACGGCTCCGGCTCCGGCTCCGGCTCCGGGCAAAATATGCCGGCTCCGGCGGCTCCGGCTCCGGCTCCGACTCCGGCTCCGCATCTCTGCGCACAAGTCGTCTCTTTAAATCCGTAGGGGAGAGTGGTGCAGGAGGCCCCCCCTTAAGCTCAGTTGCTATTCTTAGACAACTGATAATATTTAAGAGCTAACGTGTGCATGCGCTGTGAGCATGCATCATTTTCCCATACATATTTGCATTCAAAATGAATCTAGGGGTACACAAACCGTAAACTTTAACATTTTGGAAAAAGTTGCAAAAGGGCCTCTTACACTATGGGTATGGTAAGACGCCCCCCCCCCCCCCCTCGGGCGTTTTACAAGTCAAGTCGACTTGTAAAAGACGCTTTGCGAACACAGCTGCAAGGCCTTTTATTTCGAAAAGCTAAGCAAATACGGTGTTATCGAAACCAATAACACTTCCAAAGCGCTCGAACAATGCGAAAACTAGCACAACCAAACGCTGATGACCAACGAAAATTGTACCTATTACCTCTAAGAAAGGAAACAGAAAAAAGAAACAAAAACAAACTCCTTGAAAAAAGAATGCCACGCCTGCCGCAGGTGCAGGCGTTTTAGCATCGGGGGCGTTTTTTATCGGGGGGCGTTTTATCATCCTCGAAGGGAGGGCCTCTTAAAAAAATGCAGTGTTTTAGCGTCACAATATTTGTGGTTTATGAGACATTTGCAGCGCACCAGAACATGGTCTATTCTGAAGCTAACATGTGACAATTTCGATGAGATAAAATTGCATTTGATAGCCATTGTTTTTTTTCAGATACATAAGGGTGATAAAGATGCATATATCTAGCAAGTAAAGGGGCAAAAACAGAAACAGGCTTACCAAAAGTCGCTGCGACGCACCTGATACCTCAGGTTTCGTGAGTTGTTGTTTCAAGAGGGCTTCTGCTTTACAAGAACATTAAAAATAAATAACATTATTGGTTTGGTAAAAAAGCGATGGGGCCTCTTACCGACCCTGGGCGTCTTACACGGATCTCCCCTAATGTGACCCCACCCCAGCTTGTCTGTCCCGGTGATGTAAGTCACTCGTAGTGTAGAAAATATTCGTGGATTATGAGCTAATTTGGTTCTGAGGTCTAGTTTTTATGGCAGTGTAGCCCTCGTCAGGCCAAGGGGTTCATGTGACAACCAAATATTTTTTTTACAGATGGCGTAGACGCGGTGGAAC